ATTTTTAGGGTTTAATTTCCCTATCTTTAAAAACCACATCACCTTGTATTCCCATGAATACGGTACATGTTCATCCTTGACTTCTTTGCTGTAAGTCTGCCCATCTTGAAATTCTAGGAGGGCTGGAAACAGGCGGCTTTCATTAGGTGAATGTTTGAGAGTGCATTGTGGAGAAGGGACACAGCTAAAAAGAACTCAAAACTGAAGCAGAACAGTCTTCTTGAATCAGTAGCTGCCATCGCCCTTTTCTATCCCTCCTGGGCCTGGTCCAGGGGCTTTGGAGGAACAATGAAGTGTCATGAGGATACACGGAACAACAATTCAAAACAGAAGGTTTCTTTGGATTTCTTGTCCCAAAACCAGGGACGGGCAGTGTATGGGGAGGCAGACCGAAACACATTCGTAAAGCATAGATTTCTTAGCAGATGAGGGAGTGGAATCCATGAAAACGACAGAGCCTCCAGAGCTTGGCGTTATTTATGTTCCCCTTTAAAATTTGGCCTAAGGCATATTTCATTTATCCAAGTCATACAAAATATTGTATCAAAAGAATTTAATTTACAGTTCAGAGTTCCACATAATACTCCTTCTCTTCCCCCTCCCAAATATCCCATGGTTTTTGGTGCATATTTGTTGTGCTAAACTGATTGCCAAAAGGCTTTCTTCATAAGTTAAAAAAAAAAAAAAGTTTATTCTATATTTGCTTCAAGAAGCAAATTTGCTTCTTATCTTCAAGTGGCTACCACCTAAGACAGACAGGTGTTTGTAGCAATTTTTCAATCTTTGATATTCTAGAACGCACCCTGTTTAATCTCTTTTCAGGACTTAGCTCCTGAGTATGTCAAAGGTTTTCAGAAATGACTGCATGATGACGGCTTATCAAGGAATAGATTTTCAGAAACGAAATCTGCTCAGAGCCAGAAAAGTCAATCATCCTCCACCCTCCCTTACGTCATGCCTGCCTGCTCTGAGCCACTTTCCTGGGAGTGGAGGGTGGGCTTTCACTGCCAGGTCAGCTCTCTAGCTCCTGCTCCCAGTGACCAGGAGTACTCAGCTTGGCCCTGGGGCAGATCTCAGGCACAGAGAGGAACTGAACCGAGGACTCGAAGGTCGGGAAAGTCAGCAGTGGTAGCAAGCGTTATGTGGGCAACTGGCGAAAGCAGGTGGGGCAGGAAGATGGTCTTTCAGAGGCGTGTTTTCGATTTTGCCACTTAACAAAATAAAATAAATCTTGCAGCTTATTAGCTGTGAAACAAAACCGTATCTGCTTTGTGCCATGTCATGGAATGAAATAAACATACACTCGTTAGAACTTTATGGACGAGTCTGTGGGTGAACGTAAAGGTTAATTCAAAATATGCAAAACATACGGGTGTGTTGTACCTGGAGGAGCCGTCCCACACCTTAGCCAGAACACAATATAGGATTTCTTTGGATGCCAGGATTTTGGTGGCAAGGCTCTTTTGCTGATAAAGATGTTGGGATGTCAATGAGCAAAAAAAGAGAGAGAGAGAGACCGGTGAGATTGCTATCTTTACAACTCTCTCTGGACTGTTTTTCAGACATGTTAGATGAATACATGGCTGTGGTAACACACCCCATACTCAAGTGACTTTCCATCTCCCCATGGCCTCAATGACCTGTTTCCCCCTATATTTTAAACTGAATGGCAAGAATCTATGCAAACTTTCCCTCTGTAAACAGTTGAGACATTCCTGCCAAAGATCTCTCTTCTACAAAGTGATTTAGTACCTTCATCTCGCCACAGACTCTCTTCGCATGTGTTTAGTCTCTGCGGTGGAACTTGGGCTCTCATATTTCATCACGTGGGAGAGAGAGGATGGTTACAGAGTTCAGGTGTGGGGCAGGAAGAACCATCCCTGCTCACTTGAGGTCTTGTCTTCCAGAGTTCTCTTATCATTTTCATGGCCCCAGTAGTTTCAGGGCCATTGTGTGAGGAACAAATTGTACGCCTCTGCCTGGCTGTAACCAGGCAGATACGATACGTAACCTTGTTCTTGATAGAGTCTTTAGTTTTACCAGCTGGACTGAGTATTCCAGGAGCAGAAGTGAGCAAGTGCTCCTGTGTGGGGCGTCAGACTCCCTGCAGAACTTCCCTGGAGAAATGCTTTCTGAAGGCATCTTTGGTTGAAACAATAGCAGCTTATCTTCTTTCAAAACTAAAGGGACAGTGTGCAAAAGTGGGCAAGACCTCTCCTTTGCTTACGGGTTCTCATTTTGTCCTCATTGCTAGGAAAATGCCTTCTGACGGTTGTGGTCATTATTTCAGAATTAGAAAGTATGAAAAGAGAGTTTTGTTTTTTGTTTTTTGTTTTGTTTTGTTTTGTTTTTTTATCCAGAGCATTTTTTTTTTTTTTTTTTTTTTTTACTTATAAACCATTTCCTGACTATTTACTGTCCCTACAGCTGTGGGTACAGTGATAACATTCCCATCTCTCTGGCCAGGGTGGGGGAGGGGTATGGAAGCCTCCTCCTCTGTTTGCAACTTTGGACCCAGCGCAATCTTGACCACCAGTGTTCTCTCTAAATAGCTTATAGGTTGGCAGTCATGGGCAGAAGCATCAGAGAAGACATCCAAGAAGGACTACAGGATAGGAGGCAAAGGAAGAGAAGCCTCCTCTGAGAGGAGGAAAATCCTGCCACCTGGTACCTTCTAGCGGATATCAGCCATTGCACTTCCACCACTCACCAAGTGGACAGGGGAAGATCCGGAAGAATGATGTAGCTCAGTGCTGTCAAGTCAGGCAATCCTGCTAGAGCATGGGCCCCTTTGTGGCACTACGATCGCAATTATAGCAAAGATATCTTGGCACATGAAATCAGACTTGAGAGTGAAAGTGGGGATGAACACGTCTGCTGAGAACAGATTAGCACAATTATAATTATTTGAAGCGCTGAGTGGTGCCATTCCAGCAAATGGATACTTAACCCTGGCTTTCAAGGATAAGAGGTCAAGTTCATGAAGCCAGTCAGCCTCCTCATCTGTGAGGGCTGATGTTGGTTGTCTCAGGGGCAACATGTTTACCAAATATAGCTACAAAAGGTCTAAGTTTGAGTCCCTAGTCCATTCTACTTGCTAGTCACTAAAATCTTAAACCTTAGTTGATATTAAGTAAATGCTTATGGAAGTTATAAATAATACAATTAAAATATTATTGGAATTATAAATTGAAAGTCATAACTTCAATCCCTTCTTCAATACTTTTCTATCAACATTTTTAGGCAAATCTAACCAGTTACTTTTTTTCAATACTTATCCTAAATATGTTTGTCTAAATGTGGGCACTGGTATCTTTGAAATACACTGAGGGGTCTGAAGAGATGGCTCAGTAGTTAAAAGCATTGGCTGCTCTTCTACAAGACCCAAGTTCAACTCCCATCAGCACACAATTGTCTAGAATTCCAGCTCCAGGGAATTCAACATCCTCAGGTAGACACACGTGTAGCCATACACCAAAGCACATAAAATAAAAATAATAAAATCACTTAAACAAATACACTACTATCTTTTTTTTTTTTTTTTTTTCCTGAGACAGGCTGTGTAGCCTTGGCTGTCCTGGACTCACTTTGTTGACCAGACTGTTCCCGAACACACAGAAATCTGCTTGCCTTTGCCTCCCCTAGTGCTGGGATTACAGGCGTGTGCAGCGTGCCCAGCTACTATCTTTTAATACATTTACAAAAATACAATTTAAATAGTTAATCCTGGGGCTGGCCAGATGGACCAGCAGTTAAGAGTACTTTCAGATCTTCCAGAAGAGACTCAAGTTCCCACCATCCACACTGGGCAGCTTACAACTGCCAGGAAATCTAGCTCCTGGGACTCTGATGCCCTCTTCTGCCTCTGTAAGCACTCATTCACACACACACACACACACACACACACACACACACATACAAATAAATTTTAAAAAACAGTAAATAAAATAGTCTAATTAGATTATATAATAATTAGATTTCAGTATTGAGATAGGATTGGAGAGGATAAACACAGGAAGTGGAGAAACAACTAAGGAAACGGGAGACCCTGTTATTACAGCTTCATTAGTCTATGGGGTTTTCTGTTCCCATTGTTTTACCGATGAACAAGCTGAGGTACGTCCCATTAGCTTGCACCATCAGGAGCCCTTAAAACCGAACATCCTTTTCACCTTGATTAACACTTAGACTTTACCTAATTGAACATGTCTTGAAAACAAGGAGGTTTTTTCTTTTTACATGAGGCCTGTAGGACAAGGAAGAAGACAGGGTACAAAAATGAGAACTCCACAAAAAAAAAAAAAAAAAAAAAAAAAAAAAAAAAAAAAAAAAAAAAAAACAAAAAAAAAAAAAAAAAAAAAAAAAAAAAAAAAAAAAAAAAAAAAAAAGAAAAGAAAAAAAAAACACCTTTTTTCAGCTTTATTAAGTGAGATGAAATAAAACAGCAGAGAAGCAATATGAGAACTTTAGCTTTTAGGACACAAATGTTTGCCTGAAATACAAATTGAAAATAGACTGGCAAGTGCTCGTAATTAAAACAGATGTTACCTAAAAGACACCCAGGAGACTCACAAAACACATCGAGAATAATAATTCTTCACAAGGAATTCAGTGGCAGGCTATGTATGTCACTCACTACAGTGCCTGGACCCAGATAAACTTAGACCCTCCTGATGGAAATCTTTTCAAGTAATACTTACACACACACACACACACACACACACACACACACACACACTACTTACACGTGTAAGTTCCCCAGCTAACAATAATTGGGAGAGGAAATTAATTGCACCTCAAGCTTTTAGGAAGCTGGTGTTACTTGGCCACATGAACTCAACTTCTGGGGTAGAACATGGGTGATCACGTGTTCACTGACCAAGTCTCACCAGTAGGTGTTTCTGGGAGGACTGAGGGAGAGCAAGTGTAGAACCCATCATCTTCCACTGCAGAATCCCCTCGGACTGACTTCCTGAAAATCTTCTGTTTGCCTTCCCCAGGAATGGCGGCCCTAGATAGTAAGGCGTCAGGGAAGATGGGGATGCGAGCCGTAGTCTATTACATGACCACCACCATCATTGCTGTGGTGATTGGCATACTCATTGTCATCATCATCCATCCGGGGAAGGGCACAAAGGAAAACATGTACAGAGAAGGTAAAATTGTGCAAGTGACCGCCGCAGATGCCTTCCTGGATTTAATCAGGTATGTCCTTGGAAACCGTCCCTCTTCGTTTTGTTTGTTTGTTTTTTTTTGGGGGGGGGCAACCAAACTCTTGAAAAGGAATCTTGACAGAACCAGCCTTGCCAGGCTTGAAATGGAAGTCACATCCCTGCTGTTTTCCTCTTGCCGAAGTTGGTATCGGAGATAATATCTTCAGTCCCACATAAGAGATGTGAGAGGAACAAGATGTGGATGAGCTAGAGAGCCCTGCAGTAGGGGTCAAAAACCTAAGTTTTCTCCACTGTGCAGCTCACCATGGGATAACTGGATAATTCTTAATTTTCTTTCCCCAAGTCTTGTTCTGTAAGGCTAGTTTTTAGCACAGTATGACCTGTTCCTTAGACCCCCCAGTTTAACATTAGTAGTCTCTGTCTTGTCCATTGCAAACAGCAGCGACCTGGCTCAGCAGTGACTTTAGTGTTCACTTGACCACTCCTGACTAGAGCTGCTCCTTTTATACTATTTGCAAAGAAAGTATTTGGCACATTAGAAAAAAAAAAAAAAAAAAAAAAAATGAAGGATGCTCTTCAGTGGTGTTTTATAAACACACTAGACACTGATTGCAAGTGAGCCTCAGCTAACACTTAGAGTTGCTGACTGTCAGAGTAAGTCAAAGTTTGAGCCTGGAGTTTTCCTTCTTTCTCGCATTCCACGCCTGCCCTTGCATCAGTCGAGTCCTAGCAAGAGGCACACTACATCTACAAAAGGGACTTTGAAAGTCAGAACACGGTGTGGAATATAATCTCAGACTGTGGCAGGAGAAGCATGAATTCCAGGCCTGCCTCACCTGGGCTACATGGCAAGACCCTGTAAACAGATTCTGGGAGGCTCCAGCTTATAACCAAACAAGTAGGAATGTGTTTGTCATCCCCCGTGGCTGTAAAGGGACGCAGGAAGGAAACTGTTAGCAGACCCCAGGAAGAGCTGCAGCCATGGGAACAGGCCTCAGAGTAGGAGCTCTAGCTACAACGAGGCGGGGGGGGGGGGGGGGCTTCAATCCAACTGGAGCAAGGTGCTGATGGAATATGGATATGGACTTTTTTCCCTCACTGCTTTGTAAGTGTCAGCTTCCCTGAAAAATACCAATTGTATCATCCATACCTACGGACAACCAGGCATCCATTTTCAAGTCACAGTATCTTTCCATTTGCTGCTTGGTTCGATGCGTTCTTTTCTTTAGACACAGTGAAACTGTTTAAGGAACCAAGCTGCTACTGGGGAAGCCTCGTAAATGACTGCTCTTTTCTTTGCAGGAACATGTTCCCTCCCAATCTGGTGGAAGCCTGCTTTAAACAGGTAAACGCTCTCCCACTACCAAGTCACCGTTTAAATTCTTTGGGGGAGGTGGGTGGTGGAAAGACGGCTCAGTGGTTAAGAGCACGGATAGCTGTTCCAGAGAACCCCACTTTGGTTTCCAGCGCCCATGTCCAGTGGCTCACACCACCAGTAACGTCAGCTCCAGTAGATCTGACACCCCAGACCTCTTCAGGCACCTGCATCCATACGCACATACCCATACTCAGACACACACACACACACACACACTTAAAAATGAAATTTAAATTCCATTTGGACATATCAAGCCAGCAGGACCCTCTTCTGCCTTCTCATTTCTCTGCAGTAAGAACTACTTCTCTGGCCAACCATATGGAAAGCACCAGGATTACCTGGGTCTTTTACTTGCATCAAAGTTGGCCTCGTGGCCAGGCACACCCATTTTGCACACCAACAGCACACTGAGTCTACATTATTTTTAAGAGGACTAATTGGGAGGCCCTCTCTTTCTTCCCCTCCTTGTGCTCCCGTGCAAAAACTCACCAAAGCAAGCAAGTTCAAATATAAATAAGTACATTAACAACTTGCTTTAAAGTTAGACAGACTATTCTAGTTTCTGGGCTTGACTTAAAAACCATTGACCTACTAATTCAAAGTCTAGGAAGAGCCTTAGGGACGCTAAAGAAAAGCCACATCAGAAAGGAATGGTGTCATCATTTTTGGAATGCCCGCTAGGTGCCAAGCACCAATGTTATATTTAGTCCTCACATGAACATGGTATCAACATTTTCATTTCACCAGTGAGGCCGCTCATTTACGGGAATAGGGGATTGCGTAATAAGCACAAGTTCTCACAAGTAGTAAATGGCAGGCCCAGAATTCAGACCCACATGTTCCTCTTCCTACTACTCCAGGCTGCTTCCTGGAAATGGACCCAGAGACTCCACCTGGAGACCATGGTGAGGTCAAGCGCCTTGGGCTTGACCTAAGATCTAAGCAGTTCTTGGCTTTCTGCACGGTGCATACAAGTATCTTTTAGCATTAGAAATATCATTCTTCCTACCCTCACTTGATTAGAAAAGCTCTGTTGTCCAAGCTGTAAAAGGGGAAACACAGAACACACTAAACGCTGCTTCCCGAACACTCCTCCATGTGGCGTCGATTCACCTAACCTTTTTACTTAAGACACAAAATAAACCCAACCCTGGCCTTGCGGAGTACTGGGTTTTAAGCATGTAAGACACCGTCTTCCCCCGCCCCGCCCCCTGAGACTATTTGTGAAAGTTAATGCACAACAAGATTGCAAGATCCAAACTCACACTTTCTTAAAAACAAAAAGCCAACGGAAGGCAGGAGGAACACAAGTCCAAGGCTGGCCTGGGCTACAGTGTGAGTTCAAGCATATCCTGGGTGATTTAATAAGGCAGTGTCTCAAAGCATAAAGCAAAAGGCAAGCAAACTATCTTAGCTTGAAAAGGTACTTGCCCCAAGCCTGATGACCTGGGACCCACGAGTTGGAAGGAGAGAAATAACTCTCCTAAATTTTTCTACGACCACCATGGTCTGTGCCCCACCCCCAGTAGATAAATAAATGCAACAACCTTTTTTGTTTCTCTGTGTAGCCCTGGCTTTCCTGGAAATCTCTTTGTAGATCAGCCTCACCTCGAACTTACAGAGATCTACCTGCCTCTGCCTCCCGAGTGTGGCAAACACAACTAAATTTTAATCGTTCAGTTGAACATATTTAATGATAATTAAGTATTTAATGAATTTCAATAATTACAAATAAATAATATTTAAATTAAATATATAATAAAAAGAGGGGTGCAGCGTGCTTACAAAGCACAGGCAAGACCCTAAGGTTAGTTCCCAGAACCACGAAAGCCAAAAAATGCTCAGGCGGCCAAAAATTTCCTAATTCAAGAACTACAATAACAATGAATAATAAATCCTTTCAATGTGACAAAGCATCCCAGCATCGTGAGTCTGTCTGCTCGTGAGTGGGCAATGTGTGATATCAAAAATGCTGATTTCTAGATCTGTTAGAGGAGGAAAGTGCTGAACTTTACAGACTCACACTGACTTTGGGTGCTTTTGCAAGGCTGTGAGGGGGAGGCAAATGCATTGCCCTAAGATCTATTTGGCTTAGACTAGAATGCAAATAAGGCTGCAGTTTCTGAGTAGGCTTAACTGTGTGTAAGGGGAAAGAGTAGAAGGGCTTAAAACAAAATGACCAGGCTTGAAATTGTGCCCCAGAGACTCCACAAATCCACAAACACCCAAGAGTGAAGTGAGCGAGAACTGACTGTAATAGAATTTTATGTTTTTTTTTTTTTTTAATTACCAAAAAATCCACGGTATTGACAGCTGACCACGTCCTTGTTTGGAGACTGGTTTCCCAAAGACCAGAATGTCTCCTGCTCATCCCTGGTACAAAAATAGCCAAGCACTCACTTGTGGCCCTGCCTTCCTCCCTAGATTCTAAACCCAGTCAGCATTCACACACTGGTGCTCTCCTGTCAACACTATCAAGGCCAGGGCGGGCATTTCACTTTTCTGGAGATCAAAGGGGGATAGACTTGACTTCGGCCACGGCAAGTTCTCAGCATTTGCTGACTGGTCTATGCAGGAGCTACTGGGGGGAAAGGGCAGGGCGTGGCTCAGGAGAGAAGCGACACGAAAGACTTGGAGCAAGCGGGTTATCATTACCAATTGCCAAGCGGGGAGCTATTAAGAATTGGTGTTTATAACACCAGGAGTGACTTAAAGACTGGTCATTTGAGGATTTATTATTTTTTTTTCTCCTATCCCCTGAAGTTTGTAGCGCAGTCCAACCCTGAAGTCAATTATCAATAAATACCTTAATGATATACTTTACATGTTACATAATGATGCCCCTTGTGGTGCTTAATTTGGTCATTGCCACAACCCTGTGAGGTAAAATCCTTGTTTATCCTGTTCCACAGCTGTGAGATAGGAAATGAAGGACGTTAGACTATTTCTATGCATGATCTTCATAGAAGGCAAAAGGACTCAAGAATATTTGAGTTTGTGGCTCTCTGAAAATCTCATTGTAGTCAAGGTTTCAGAAGAAAGCAGGTCTGCGTATGTTGAGTCTGACATCCTTAGCCAGATATCCCGCCTTGTTGCAATTTGTCATGTACTTGGGCATGTGTGTGTGTTGTGATTCATACACTGTATTTCAGTGTGTATGCTGGTGTTGAGAAACAGGGACTTGCCCCAAATTAGACAGATCATACATAGATAGGTCTATAGATACTGTCTATAACACCATCCTTTAAATACAAAACAGCATATACCATCATGGAAAATTTGGACAACAAGGAAGTGTTAAAATCACTTAATTCCTATTTTGCTTCTTATTTCTAAGTTTAAAACAAGCTATGAGAAGAGAAGCTTTAAAGTACCCATCCAGTCGAATGAAACACTGCTGGGTGCCGTGATCAGCAATGTGTCCGAGGCCATGGAGACGCTCACCCGGATCCGGGAGGAGATGGTGCCGGTTCCCGGATCTGTGAATGGGGTCAATGCCCTGGGTCTGGTTGTCTTCTCCATGTGTTTCGGCTTTGTGATTGGAAACATGAAGGAGCAGGGGCAAGCGCTGAGGGAGTTCTTCGACTCTCTGAACGAAGCCATCATGAGATTGGTAGCGGTGATAATGTGGTAATGTATCTCCTTGCGAGCTCCCACAGTTCATCCCGTGCTGAGAAAGACTCCACCAACATGAATCACTCGCAGCCACCTCTCTGTGGCAGCCACAAGAAAGGTGTATTTCTGGCCTGTCAGGGGCCCTGAACCTAAACTCCCTTCCTTGTCTTGAAAAGGTTTGAGTCTCCTACCCCATCCACCCACTTTACACGTATTCATTCACACAGTTAGTGAGTTGCTACTTTATGATAAGAATAGGGTCCGAGGCACAGCAGCGGCAGCAGGGAAGGGCAGGCAAGGCTACTCGGGATCTCACCCATCTTTAAGTGGGACAAACGATGAACAAGCAAATAAATATCATAAATGATTCCTGAGTCATAAGTGTGCTAAAAAAAAAAAAAAAGTAAAACAGGAGAGAGGGCATCCTGTTTGCTTTGGGTGGTACAGAAAGGCTGGAGGCGACTCTTTGCTCAGATCAGAATGACTAGGCAGATCCAGTTTTAAAAAAAGAACATTCCCAGTAGAAGAAACACAGGCCCCAGATTTGGCGGCGGAGGGTGGGGGTGGGGGGATGAGTTCACCCTTCTGTTTGAACCATAAGAAAAAAAATATATGTGGCCGAGTTGTAGCAGCATCCAGGAGGACTCAAAGAAAGTATCATGGACTGCTAAGCCACTACTTATAACAAAACTTTCTTTAATAAAATTTCAGAGCAGGAGACAAAAGGAAAGACTAAATCCAAATCGGGAGAGCATTCTCTCTGGAAAGTGAACTCCCCCAGCCTTGCTTGGTGGAGGCCTTGTGTAGGAGTTGCTTTTCTTTTCATTTTAATATCTGGGGTCCTTCTTGGCACTTGGGACAGGAAGGCATCAATCGCTAAGAAAAGCATTCACTCACCAACATGATTAAAAATATCCTTTGTCTCTAATGCCCCCGAAGCCCATAGAAATCCACTTTTTAGGAGTTTGCACAAGACGAATATGAACTTGGCACCAAGACAGGTCGGAATGTGGTCCCCACAGGAGCCTGCAACTGGAAGGCTCCTTTGAAGTCCTGGCTGGGCTGAAAGTGGACATTTATCTTCATGTTATTAAAATGCCTCCATCTTTCACGTCTTCTATGAAAGGAGCCCATTCAAGGCCACTGAATGAACCTCACATGTAGCTTTTCTAGCTATACATTTGCCTACACACTCAACATTGAATTATTACATTTATGAGAACAGGTACTTCTGTGATTTCCTGGCCTGCAATCTTTTTTTTTTTTAAGGACCTTTGAAAGAAACATTGTATTTCTCCAGTTGCAGCAAGCCCCCCACAGTTCCCAGCAGACCCTTCTCCTTAAGGAAGATTGGCTTCTGTCTTTGGCAGCCTGTTTCGTTGTAGCTTAGTATACACATCACACAAAGGGAGGTGAAGGTCTTTGGGCAAGTAGGGTTGGTTCAGTGTGTGTGAGTCATTGCCGGGTCAGCTGCCCATTCTTGCAGGGGCCATGAGTAACAGCCTGTGGATAATTACTTAATTCGAATGCCTATAACCTGACTGCAGTTGGACATCCACACACTTTATTAATTTTAATAGCTCTGGGTTTGTTTTATGGTCTTCTATTTATGGCAAGTGGTACTAGTATTTAGTTTGCATAGTAACATAAAATTTCCTGTGAGAGGAAATTTACCTAAGTATGAGAGGTGACTTGAAGAAAACTACTGAGTAGATTTTAAGTGGAACGTATCTGTGGAAGAAAGCAATGAAAGCATCCCCACACCAGTCCTTCCCAGCCTTCCCGGTGCCACCAGCCTTTAATACAGTTTCTCAGGTCGTGATGACCCCCCCAACCAAAAACTTATTTTCTTTGCTACATCGTAACTGTGATGTTGCTACTGTTACAAATCCTAATGCAAATGTCTGTGCTCTCTGATGGTCTTAGGTGACCCCTGTGAAAGGTTGTCTGGCACCTACAGGGGTCGCTACCCACAGGTTGAGTAAGAGTGCTCGCTGCATAGCTAACACACTGGCATGACATAGCATGGCATAGCATGCTTCCTGCTTCAGCTTGGGAGGCAGACTGTGGTACAAAAAATATTCTAGAGTGTGATATTAGTGTAATGTCTTTTTCCAGGTGCTTAGCAGGAGTCAAGAGAGATTAGGAATTGCAGGTATCTGAAGACCCAAATAGGGACCCAATTGTGTTTAGGAAAATGGAGACCAAAAATTCTTCTTCCTAAGGGCTAAGGCCAGTGGAAATGGGATGGGGTGTCCTAGAGCAATTCAGAATAAAAAGAAGGCCCAATTTAGAAATGTCCCAGGAACTGTGTATTTTAAACAGGGAAGAATGACAGCTGTAGTTTTTTACAGGTCTTAGTTTGGACCTTTTTGTTTCTTTCTCTCCTACCGGGTAATTTACACGCAACAACTTCTAGAAAACCAAACTTCCAACTGCGCATGTGTTGCTTTGCTGCAGGTACGCACCTCTGGGCATCCTCTTCTTGATCGCAGGGAAGATTGTTGAGATGGAAGACATGGGTGTGATTGGGGGGCAGCTTGCCATGTACACGGTGACAGTCATTGTCGGCCTCCTCATCCACGCTGTCATCGTCCTGCCGCTCCTCTACTTCCTGGTAACCCGGAAGAACCCCTGGGTTTTCATTGGAGGGTTGCTTCAAGCGCTCATCACAGCTCTAGGGACCTCCTCAAGGTATGTGCATGTGCGTGGCTTACTCCTCTAAGAAGTTTATCTAAACCTTTACCTTGAGCCTGAGCCTCTTGGGTTAGGGCTAAGTAGAGGCATTTTTAAATTTCAGGAATATTGAATTGGCTTTTTCACCTCTGAAACTGATCATACCTCCTTGGGACCCAGCCAGTGGCTATCTTTAAATCCATTGGGGGGGAGGACAAAGGGAAAGGAAAGAGTCCTTTCCCATGCACTGGCTCCTATCTTTCACTGACATCTGCCTGAGAGAAAAAGGGGGAAATGATGTGGCCCAGGCATCTGTGGCATGGAAATAACCATAAGCAACACCTCCTCGAGAATCCGGGCACAGAAGGGCAGCCAAGGGGCCCTGTGAGGGCACCACACTCCTCCTCTCCAATTTAGAGAAGTACTGACTTGGGACATGAGAGAGGAAGGAACTATCTGTGCAAAACACCAGAGACAAAACACAGAGCTGTTAGGGAGGACAGTCAGCTGACATGCCCTGTTTTGCTGTCCTCAGTTCTGCCACCCTACCCATCACTTTCAAGTGCCTGGAAGAGAACAATGGTGTGGACAAGCGCATCACCAGATTCGTGCTCCCCGTGGGGGCCACTATTAACATGGATGGGACTGCCCTCTATGAGGCTCTGGCTGCCATTTTCATCGCTCAAGTTAACAACTTTGACCTGAACTTTGGACAGATTATTACAATAAGGTACCAGGGAAGATTTCTACCCACCGTTTTCTTTAGAATGGTTTTAACAGATGAGAGGATGAGTGAGGTTGGGTGAGGAAGTTGACTGGGAAGGGGATCACACACAAATAGCAGGTTGGAGTTGGAGGGCGCAGTTTGGGGTTTAGATGAATCTATTTTTCAGCTCTCTAACTTCAGGTGTAGATATTCATTCGAATAATACAGAAGTGTATGGCCTGGAAAGGGTGATTCACCTGTTACCATATCACTCAAAATCTTTCTGTAGGTAACCGTTGTCCATGATAGATTCCCAAAGACCTTTTCCAGTGCCAGGATGTGTGCACATTTCATTTTAGTAATTAACCATGCTACACATACCACGTACAATACAGAACTCACAGATACGTGTAGCTCATATTTTAGAATATCTATAAAATAAAGTATCTACAGGATAAAATATCTACAAAATATATAGTATAAATAATTCTGTTTTAAAAACTAAATTATTCTGCAATTTTGAAAACATTAAACTATGTCTATAGGCAATATTGGAAAAGGAAAATACTGAAAACTGGATTAACTTACTCTCAGCTGGATGTTTAGGCACTATAAGATATACAAGTAAGATCATAAGCAGATCATACAAGTAAGGCTGAGGGCTCAATTTTATGGAGAATCATTTAACTGATATTTAAACTGTTCAGTGAAAAGTAACTTTCCTTTTTGTGCTCTTCTCCAATCTCCCAGTTTCTTTTTGGACAGGCAGCTATCACTCCTAGCAGTCTTCCCTGTACCCTGCGGAGACATTCCATGTATATGTCTGATCCAACCCTTTGCCTTTCTTTCTTGCCTACTGAAGTAAGTGTAAGGAGCCACAAACACCCAAGGCAACGGGAGGCTTTAAGATGCCTAGCTCAGATTAGCTGTGCCCTTCATTGATGTGGCCTTGGCTTTAGCTAATATTAACAATATTCGAAATCAGGCTTTTGTTTTTGCTGCTCCTTTTTAGGAAAGGTGTCCTATGCATAAAAAAGTTAAAGCAATATCACACACTATCTTCTGCCTAGATCTCAAAGATAACATTTTGCCATTCTTGTGCTCGCTCTTCCTCTTTTCCTCCCTCCCTCTTTTTCTTCTTCCCTCCCTATTCCTGTGATGATGTATCACTTGTAAAACATTCAGAATTCATCTCCTAAGAATAAGGATAGTCTTCTACATACCATTCTATACTCTCAAAAGTACTTCCAGAATACCCATTCTATCTTCAGTCTTCTCCTGACGACCCCCCACAGTGTTCTTTAGAGTTTTTTGTTTCTCAGATCAAGATCAGATCTTGATTTTTATGCCCTATGGTGTGTTTTGTGATGTCTTTTAATCTCTGTCACTCACCCCATGCTTTCCTGATATTTATTTAGAAATTATATCCTGTATGCATGCATATAGTTAGGAAGAGATAGAGGCTAAAGTGTACATTAGAATAAAATGATGAGGTTAGGTTACCATGGCCAGGGGTTGCTGGCTGATCGTGGGACCAGGAGGCCCAGTCTAACCACACTGGAGGCTGAGAGCTGTGTCTTGGCACACTGTAAACTGTTCTTACACATACCTTGGCACACTGGCTGAAGAGCCCTGAGTTTAGACAAAGGTTCCACTGCTAACAATGAAAACGGTATTAGTGACCTAAACAAGGTTCAAGCACATTTCTCTTTAAGATTTGCTCCATTAAGCCTTCAGGGCTGGTTGGTGTCCCACAATGTATCAGATGAAGGCTGTAGTTCCAAAGTTTCTAGGTATCCCCTTCATCCAGGTGTATGATGACTTTTCATCATGTTCAAACTTTTGACAGTGGGAAGAAGGGAAGTCAGAGATTGGCCAGTCACTTCTGTCTGTGTTTCATGTGCCAGAATTTAATCTGAGCCCCAAAGGAGGATGGGATAGTTTCATTCCAGGTGGCCATACCAACTAGCCATTCTGTGCAGGAAAAGAGTATGGAGGATCACATGTTTTACCCAGTCTTTCTGCTTTATCAGTACTGCTGTAGGGCTTGCCAATACTTTATTATTCATGAGGAAATAGTTTCACACTCTCACATCACCCTATCAAATAAGTCTTAGACACTTAACATACATGCAAACTGGGTCCATACTGAACACACACAAACACACACATATAACACTGCAGGATCTTACTCATAAATCATCTTGTTTTGAATTTATTAATTTTATTACAGCCATATTCATCATAGAAATTCAGAGTTTGAATAAGACAATTATTAGAAATAAGCTGTCACTATAACTATGGAACATTAAAGCTCAGACTCACCTCTGGATTCCTTTGCAGTGCTGGGGTGAATCCAGGGACTCACGCGTGCTAGGCAAATGCTCTACCATTAAATCGCCCCCTCCCCCGCCCCCATTGCTCTTTATTTCTTACAAAATGATTTTCAAAACATAGAAAAGAATATAGCCACCAGTTTCCTCATGTAAAAATGGTCATATAGTAGAGCCCACTTTACAAGGGTCATTGTGATGACCAAATGAGGCAGACCATGTTCAGCTTGTCAGCTGACACTCAATTAAAAATGCATGGCCAATTGTAATTAGTATGACTATTAACTCAGGGAACTGTTTTTATTTATTCATTTAATTCCATTTTTTTCTAAGGCAGGCCCTCCACCTGGCCATGGGAACACAAGTTTGCCAGGTACTCTGCACTGGGAAGCATTTGTAAACTTTTCCGTTTTGGTCCTTCTGTCAACAGTATCACAGCCACGGCTGCAAGCATTGGAGCAGCTGGCATTCCTCAGGCGGGCCTGGTCACTATGGTCATCGTGCTGACGTCTGTGGGCCTGCCCACGGATGACATCACACTCATCATCGCCGTGGACTGGTTTCTGTGAGTATTCGGGGCCTGTGTTCTGAAGCAGCCATGGCTCCCACCTGCAAGCCTATCCCCCTTAGCTCCCCCACAGTTGTAGAATAACAGCAGCCTATGGGCTTGCAGAGGAACTGAGCAGAAGGCTTGGAAGGCTTGTAATGGAATCGTCCTCATCACCGGCTCCCCGGTCCTTACCTAGAGTCCCAGCCTGACATGCAAACTCCCTGCTTTCTTGGCCTGTGGGGCGCATCTGGCTGCTCTCCCTCCCACTCCATAAAGCCACTGGCGTTGGGAAACCTACTGTCTGCAAAACTGACATAGGTCAGCCAGGGTTGTGCAACACACCCCCTCAGCAGCTGGGGCAGCAGACCCCACGTGCCAGCTCAGGCCCTTCCTCTCTGTGCTTCCCATTACAGTGAGGCAAAGCAGGACAGATGTTTGTGTCTAAGCCCCATGAGATGAGGGAGAGCCATGCAGACAGTAGGAAGAGAGTGCTTGTTATCAAGAGAAATTGGTTGGGGGCTCTGAGGAAACTCCCAAGAAATGGTACCTTCTAAACCCTCAGACCCCAGCATGCAGGGACTGTCTTCCTGTCTTCTTCCCTTCCACAGACATTGCCTGTCCCTTGTCTCTCATAAATTTCTTTCTACTTGAGAAAGAAAATTGCTTAAGGGGTGCTTAAAGACAGGACCTAGGAGAACACAATGGATGCTGGAGTCCACGTGTGATGACATCACTAGAGCTAGAAAGAGTGCAGCAGTCCAAGACACCAACTCATGCACCAAGGCCAGGGCACAGAGCCTGAGTTCCCGGTCACTTAGATCACCTCCAGGCCCGTGACAGTAATCAACCTACCTAACCACCCTACTCTCCACTCTGCAAAAGTGGAGAGGTTCGAGTTCTCTGCCGCTTGCTGACACTGTAGGGATTAAATTCAGCAACAGGTAAGAAAGAACCTAGTCTGTGCTCTGGCTCTGAGGCATCAGTTGATACACTTTGGAGCTGGAAATGGAGCTCCATTGCTAGAGTGCTCGCCTCATAGCCATGAAGCTCCAGGTTCCTTCCCCAGCACCACAGAAACTGGGAGGGGAGGCAGATTGCTCAGACCTATACTCTGAAAACTTGGGAAGAGGATCAAAAGCTCAAGGCTATCCTCCTCGGCCACATAATGAGCTCAGAGGCAGCCTAGGCTAGATGAAAACCTGGCTCAACAAAAAGTCCGTTGGTAGAGTAAAAGCTTCCGCTCAAGATTTTTAGCTTTATACCTAAAACTGATTGAAGTGGCAATACAGCAAAGCCATGTGCTTTATACCCGTAGTGTAAAAACTCTCAAATGTTTGCATTTTTTTAAAGTTAGAGTAATGACCCATCACATGCTGACATAAATAGCAATTTCTGTGAAAAATAATCACTTCTAAACAAAAAGTTAGTGAAACGAATGGCAGTGGGCTACGTTTTGTGAGTCCTCTAAGTGTCTTGTTTAATATCAGGCAATTGCAACTATCTCGACAGCCCATGGATCAGTGTGCTATGATGTTATACATTGCGCAGTCTGTGCAAACTCTACCACAAATTCTTGAGAAAGTAGGAGTAAAGGGAACAAATGAGACCGTAGTATTTCTATAAAAATGGTTTTTATTCCAGGACACTTCTCCAAGGGGCCTCTGCACCATGACAACCATAGTAGGTAAATGGAGGAAAGAGAAAATGTTAAATAAAAGCAGAAAAGAGGACTGGGAAATGACTCAGCTGGCACAATTGCTTGCTGTATAAACATGAGGGCTTGAGTTCCATCATCAGAGCAGTATCCATGTGAAAAGAAGCAGGACACACGGGCACACACTATTATCTCCAGGACTGGCACTGGAAAGGCAGACACAGGAGGACCTTTGGGGATGTCTGAGAAGCCAATCTAGCGAAATCTGTGACCTCCAGGTGTGCTGAGACACATTATTTTAAAAACTAAGGTGGACAATAATTGAAGACTGTTGCTGGCCTACACACACACACACACACACACACACACACACACACACACACACACGAGAGAGAGAGAGAGAGAGAGAGAGAGAGAGAGAGAGAGAGAGAAGAGTGAGTCCTCACTGTTTACCTTCTGTTTATGGCCAGGCTAATCACTGGAAATGAATCACCTACTTGTCCCTGTCACTTCTGACAGTGACTGTTGTAGGTGGAGCTCCCCACAAAGAGCCTAAGAGCTGCTTACAAAGCCTTCTCCAGCCAGTTCACAGGGGAAGCCAGGATCTGGTGGTACTCAAGGGACCCTCTCTTCTTCATTCCCTCCTTCTTTCCCCAGGGACCGCCTCCGAACCACCACCAACGTGCTGGGTGACTCGCTGGGAGCAGGGATTGTTGAGCACTTGTCCCGACATGAACTAAAGAACCGAGATGTTGAAATGGGGAACTCCGTGATTGAGGAGAATGAAATGAAGAAGCCATATCAGCTGATTGCCCAAGACAACGAACCCGAGAAACCCGACAGTGAAAGCAAGATGTAGACTGCCCCACACGTGCTTTCTTGAGCATTGCGTGTTGGAGAACCATTTTGCAATGTGTCCATCTCATTGAGCTCACTCCCGCCGTGAGCCGCTTCTCTTTCCTCCCTACTCTGACAGGATTGGAAAATGTCGAAAACCAAGGGAGGGCTTTGTACCAGCCAAAATTTTCAACCCACATGTGAAAATTTTAAAGCATTTCATACTGTTCTTACCAAGTAATTTACTGCAATCAAACATGGTTTTGATATGCAAATGTAGGTGATAAACGATCCTATGCAATTGTTTTATAAGTAAAAGCAATGATAGGTTAAAAAAAAAACATTTTAAAATCAACTTTCAAAATTTTAAATCCATCAGAATAAACCAAGTTTTAGCCTTAAAACATAACAAATGTTCTTATCATCGGTGGCCTGTCGGGTAGCAGGGAGGTTCCCCCTTCCTCTGACTCTCCAGGGCAATGCCCCCACACACAGACAGCTGAGAGGAGGAGCAGAAAGTGCAGCTCCCACATGGTCTTGGGTGAGTCTCATCTCGTTCGTCCCTTGGCCTCAGCACTCAGAAAATGAGTGGCCCCTCTAGACACCCTGGGCCTCTCTAGCCCAGACTTCTGTGACATCAGGAAAGACCCTGACCCTTTACAACATGAGGATCTCGGGAAGAGCGCTTCGTGGGAGTGGACATTGTCTCTAGGGCTGTGTGTGGCTCACTAGATTCTGGGTCCAATGTTGGTTATGTAAGTAGATCGGTGTGGAAGGCCATTCCAGAACTGGGGTTATTTGTGGGGTCCCTTTGCCTGTTTTGGGGGTTTTTTGTTTGTTTTTGTTTTGTTTTCCAACACTAGAAGCACTCCCTCCCCTCTTGGGTACTCTTCTCAAACCCAAGGATGGCTCTAAGAAAGCCTCCCACCACTCCCCAACTGACAATTAGATGCCTAGGAAATAAACAGAAGACTAGCAACTAGCAAGCATGCTCGTGGTCTTACATTGGAACACTAAAGAGCCGACGAAGAATATGGTGTGGCCAATTTCAAAGGGAGGGTTTTTTTTTTAAAGATAGGAATAGCTGCTCTTCTTCCAAGAAAAATAAGAGGGAGAGCTATATCTCAGCTTTTTTTTTCACCTGTCTTCAATTCCTAATCAGTCCCCCAAAGAAATGAGTTATAATGCCATTTCTTTCATATTTTCAGAGTCAAACAAATAAAGTCTCTGGGACAGATCCATGTGCTGGGTGGAAATTGTTTGTTTGATTTGTTTTGCTATCTTAACCAGAATTTCTTATGATGAAAGAAATGAGATACTTCTTTACATAGAAACGCCACTTGGCAAATCATTCAAAACTCTCATGCAGAGTGGGGTTGGCTTTAGTTTTGTGTCTGTACAAAAAATGGTAGATGAGTCAGCATGAAAATAACATGAATGAGAATGGAAGAAAAGACAGCAGGGGCATTACTTTCAGGCAAGGCAGCTCCCAGGTTTAAAAGAGATTATTTTTCACCCCTTGGGATATTCAGACAAAGATACTCAGTGGGAGCCAGCAGACGGTACCAGCTGCATTAGACATTCTGACTGAAAATGATGAATGGACATAATTGAGTATCTAGAAATGGATCTCCCAATCTACAATTAGAGATATTTTCTAGAGATCTTGAGCATTACGTGTGTATAAAGGTTAACACTAGGCTACAATGAAGTAATCATTTAATGGGAAGCTCTATTTGGGAAATACACTACAAAAGTTAATGTATGTGGCAGTCATTTTTGCGACGTTAGTAGAACAAAACGTAATCATGTCAAATTAATGCTGTTACCCAGTGTGATGTTTTTTATACTAACCCTTTCTTACAAGAACAGGTCCCCTAGGGGGGTCCTTTCAAAGGCCAGCCCATCTCCGGCCATGCATACGTGTGTACCCACTGTGGACTGCAGAACATCACTGTGTAGATGTATTTTCAATAAAGAAGAAATAGTTTTACATTAATGTATTTGCCTGTTATGATTTTCTTTTCCCCATTTATGAAGATACAGCAGCGAGCTCAAGGCGTGCTAGAGAAAGCTGGTGTTCTGAACAGCGACATCTTGGCAGAAGCAGCTGGGGTGTAAGCCATGAGGCAATCTGTAATGGCAGGCTCATTCTGTAGTTCAGCTCCTAAAACAGGAGGCCTAGGAGCTGGAGAGATGGCTCAGAGCTTGAGAACACTGGCTGTTCTTCCAGAGGTCCTGAGTTCAAATTCCCAGCAACCACGTGGTGTCTCACAATCATCTGTAATGAGATCTGGTGCCCTCTTCTTGTGTGCAGGCGTACATGCAGACAGAACATTGTATACATAGTAAGTCTTAAAAACAAACAAACAAACAAACAGAAAATCAAAAGGAGGAAGAGATGAAGGATGAAACTTGCCTTTCGCTGCCCAGCAGACAAAGGGAATCGCTTCTTTGCTGGGATTATAAAAGCGAATTGCTACTGTGAGGCTCTTCCAAATAGAATAGTTTCCTGTCTAACCTTCAAATTAAGTAGATATATCTCTCTAATTACCGCTGCCATTTAGGAAAAGAGTGGCCTTAGATCCCAAAAAGAATTTCAAAAGCAGCCCTGGTTACTGATAACCACTTATGGAGAACTGTTTTCCTTCAAGCTTCTTAATAAAGAATATGAGGAGCCGGGCGGTGGTGGCACAGGGGGTTAATCCCACACTCAGGAGGCAGAGGCCGGCAGACCTCTGAATTTGAGGCCAGTCTGGTCTATAGAGTGAATTTCAGGACAGTCAGGGCTAGACAGAGAAACCCTGTGTGTGTGTGTGGGGGGGGGGGAGAATATCATGAAATCACGGTCTTAAAGGTCCCAGCTATATGTTCTTTAATCTCTCTGGCTACCAGCAGGGGGCAGTCACATACAGGAAAAAAATGTATAGTTCTGTTTGTGAACAGATTTATGACTGCTAATGTGGGGATCACTCCCTAAACAGAGTCTAGGCCATTCTTGGGAAGACTACAGTGGAATCAGAGCGCTTGAAATTATAAAGTCTTGTACATTTGGATTTTTAATTTTTTTCATCAGTTTCTTAATAGGATATTAGGAATTTGCTTTACAAATCACTGTATTTGAACCTTTTCCCAAGGCGTAGATGATGATGTTCACATAGCCATTCTGGGAACAGGAAGGAGATGGCTCATGCCTGAGAGAACAAAACGTGGTTATCGCGAAGAGGGTGGTATCGGCTGGGGGATATTCTGGACGTTGGAACACGTTCTGGGAAGCCCCACGGATCTACTCACTGAGGTGGAGTCTGTGAAGGCCACGGGGTCATCTGAAAAAGCTGGTCCCTGTGAGACAGGAGGGAGCCATTGTGGCTGAAGAGCAGGGGCTATGTCAGTCCTGTTCGGCCAGAACCAGAGGGAAAGGAGGGATCCCCCACATGGCTGAGCGCTCTCTCTCTCTCTCTCTCTCTCTCTCTCTCTCTCTCTCTCTCTCTCTCCAGTTTCTAGGCCCTCGGAAGTTAGGGTCCGTGTTTTCCTGTTCTTGCATTCAACCTGTCGCTCCCACTGTCCAAAGCAGCAGGGTCCTTCCTAAGGCGGGGCGGGGGCAGGGACTCCAGGGCTGCTCTTTGCCTGAGCGGAGGGGGCTTGGAGGAAGGGTTTCACTGCCCCCTGGAGGGGAGCGTGGTGGGGAAGACCCTGTGGAGGCCTGGAACACAGGGTCTTTCCGGCAGCCCGCGGGGCCCTTGACCCGAAGCTGCTGTCAGTCATCAGGCCTCTGTGTTACTAGGCTGTTTCCACATCTCGCAGCCAGCCGGGTGGTCCCAGATCTGGATCGACAAAGCCTAGCTCTGTGTGGCCTCTCTCGGGGCCAGGGCAGCTGAGAGGTGTCACGACTAGGGCACACTCTGAATGAATAAGCCCACAAAAAAAAAAAAAAAAAAAAAAGGACCGGAGAGGGAAGGGAACTGGCAAGTAGTGTCCTAAGAGGGAAAGTGATGGGAACATCCACTCTGGCTATCAGGCGAGACCACCAAAGAGGCTCTGGCCTGCTGCCTGACAAGTCACCTGAGTGACGCCTAATTCTAAAGTCTACGGTAGCAAGAGGGCTTAACCTGCAAAAGGCCGGCAAGTGGCTTAAATTTTCTGACGGCCCACGCATCCCGGTTCCCTCAGTCACCCTACCCATGCAGTCTCTCCAAGAAGCCCCGGTTCCCTAAACATCTTGAGCTTCTCTCTAGACCAGTGTTTCTCCACCCATGGGTGGCAAGCCCCCGGGGCTCCACAGACCTTTCCACAGGGAAACACAGCCCTAAGGATTTCTGACCGCAGCAGCATTACAGTTATAAAGTAGCAACAAAAGTAATTTTATGCTGGGGGGATCACCAAGGCATGAGGGGCTTGAAAATCACTGCTCAAGAGACTAAGGTCTAGAGAGCTCTCATTCTCACATGCTTTCTCAGGCACACACACACACACACACACACACACACACACACACACACACACACTGAAGGCAGCATGGCAATACCTTCCAACCGTAGTGCAGAGTTGTCCGGCCGCAAAACTGCTACTCCAGCCTGGGGTTTTAGAACATTCATGTTTCACTAATTCTAACCCCGTCAGTAGGGTTGCCAGATAAAGTATGACACCCCATCCACTAAACTTGAACTTCAGATAAGTAATAAACACTGTCTTAGCATAAGTATTAAATAGCAAATAATACAGTGAGTGTGAAAAGTAGGACACTGGATAGTCTGTATCATCTGATAATAACACACAAGTGAAATGAAAATTGGAAATAATTTTTATTTGCCTTAGTACAATGGACATAATGTGTGTGTGTGCGCGTGTGTGTGTGTGTGTGTGTCTGTGTGTGTGTGTGTCTGTGTGTGTAAAGTCTGTATGTTGGGGAGGGGTCCTCATTATAACCATTTCATTTTTTAATTGCTAAATGAATGCAAGATATTATTTAAAACTCTCCCATCTAGAATTTCCTACTGTTTATTTTTCTAGTAATATTATCACTGATTAAGTCCTTGTGAATCTTGTCACCACCATTTAAAAGTCTGATGAATCACCTTTGAGGCTCTGCACAACTGTCTTAGATAAATGATGTCAAGCTTATCCATGCTTGAGTATTTTAAGCCTTGCATTTGCTTTGCTTCCCTCATTTTCTCCTTCCTTTCCCCTCCATTCCCTCTCTGTCTCTACTCCAATACAGAATATTTTCTAGCATTGCTTTCAAGACATGGCGTTTCTTTTTCTTGAGTGCCTTTTAGAAAACTACCTATGTACCTACCATATTGTCCTAGTCAAACTTGACCATTTTCTAGCGGCCGTAAAGAGAGAAATGAGGCATATTCTCCAAAGTCTTTTCCAGACTCTGTGAAGGGCAGTTATTCTATGAAATCCCCTACAGGAGAAGCAGGGCCCAACTGGGACTGCAGAAGAAGCCAAGAGAATCACGTTCTCCCGGCTGATGACAGGTACAGCCACTCTCAAGGGGACAATGAATCTATTGGAAGATGGCATCAGAGGCAACTTAGGAGTTGCTTCTCTAACTCTGTAAGTTTGGGGAAATCATAAAAAGTCCAGCTGGGATACAAAGTGAATAAACTGTAATTAATAAAAAATAAAAGTCCTGAAGGCAGCCAGACAGGAGGGTTGAGACATGGCCGTTGTAAAAGAAAATAAAGACCACTTAGGCATCAGCTCAGTTCAGAGCAAGAAGCTGGCTGCATGACCCATCTTGGGGAGAACGTAGCCAGGCAATATTCTGTCAGCAGTACTTCTCTGAAAATTGTCACCCAGATCCACGGCACCAAAACTACAGAATCCCAAAACCAGTTGTGCCTTCAAGCCCCAAAAGAGCTATGAACCAAACAAAGAGAAAACACAGCTATCCTAAGGAAAAGGCCATGCCAGGCATGGTAGCTTATACCTCCTATTGCCCCAGCACTTGGGAGAATAAGGCCAAAGTACCACAAGTTTGAAGCCAATCTGGACTACCTAATTGAGATCGTGTCTCGGGGGGGGGGGGGGGATGAAGAGAAGAAAAAAAGAAAGCTTCATGTTTCCTAAACCTTAAAGGCCTTCAGCCTCAGAGATGCTGTTTAAACACACATCTGGACGCAATGATGGGTCAGTCTACACCATAACACCCGAACTCTCCATTGGCTTGTGAAAGACCCCGGACCTCAGTGATCCTATCTGCAGATACCGTCTCCAAACTAGCTTTCATATTGGGTCACCGTCTGTTGGAAGCGATGTTCATCGAGCGAGCCTTCGTTAAACGGTTACCTCAGACCGGCAGGTTGTAACTTCTTCATCATTTAAGATGAGTAAAATCAGTCGTCCCTTTGGCAGGGGCGGCAACGAAATAAATAGAGCCCATATACATCATCTGTGTGCGCGTGCGGTTATCAAATTCTCAGCTCGGTTTTTTAGCGCTTGGGACGACTCTCAAAACGTTTATAATAAAATAGGTCAATAAAGGCGTGAGAGGGTGCGGGGTGACCCTGAGATGAGAGTCGCGCTGTGCTCCACCTGAGTCCACCGCGCGCTGGAAGGAAGTTCACGAGAAGGCTACAAAACTCTCCTGGGTGGGAGGCTGTGGGGGAGGAGTCCCCCCTGGAAACCGGAGTCTCCAAACCCTGCCAGAGCTCCCGAGAGGGGCCCGGGGCTGCACCGCGCAGACCCGGAGCCCCCGCCAGGGTCTGGGAGCCTTTGTCCGCCCTGGCTTTCTCCGCGGCCCCGCGCTGCATGGTGGTTTTGTGAAGCGCATAATCCGACAGTCTGAGGAGACCACCCAGCTTCCTCTCCCAGAGTCTCCCGGAGAACAAAACCGTCCCTCTGTGTGCCGGTGACCTCCCCCGCGCCGGCCCCCCTCCACCGGCCTCTCAGCCAAATGGAGATGGAGAAGCCGGTCAAGCCTGCCTCCCCCTCGGTGGGAACCGGGGAAGCGGGGCCCCAGGGAAGCCCCTCTCCGAGCCTGGAACACTG